GAGACCCAGGGATCCTCCTGTCCAGTGCTGGGTTTACAAGGGTGCACCACCATACCTTGCTTTTTAAAATTCACATTTAATTTATTGTGTGTGTGTCTGTGTGTATGTGTGTGTGATGTGCACATGCCATCGCATGCTTGAGGTCAGAGGACAACATTCAGGAGTTGGTTCTCTCCTTCCATTGTGTGGGTTCCAGGGATCAAACTCAGGTTGACAGGCTTGATTGCAAGCACCTTTGCCCACTGAGCCATCTTGCCAGCCTTTGGCTTTATTTTTAAAATGTTTGCTTGTTTAGTATTCATTCATTCATTCATTTATTTATTTTTGAGAGAGCCTTCTTGTAGCCCCAGCTAGCCTGGAACTCACTATGGAGACCAGGCTGTCCTTGATCTCACAGAGGTTTGTCTGCCTCTGCCTCCCAAGTGCTGGGATTGAAGGCTAGCAAAGCAAGCTCTTTAGGAACAGAGCTGTCTCCCCAGCTGCACACCGAATGCCTATACTCTGACTGCAAAAGGCCCTAAGGAGCTCAACTCAACTCCAAATTTTGAATGTTAGATTCCTCGGGCTCTTGAAAAAAATGAACAATGACTTCTGCCTCTCCGGAAGTTTCCCCGTGTATTCCAGGAATGCTGGGAATACAGTTTTGAAACAGAGGCAAATGCCCTGTGTGGAGAACTGATGGAGGCCCCTGGGGCAGCACTGCGGGGGCGGAGGTGGCAGCTGTAGCAACAGCAGCTATGAACATTCTAGTTAGAGAGAATTACATCTGTCTTTTCCTGGCTTCTCCTGGCCGCTGGAACTTTACTCATTTGCTGTCCACCACTTACAGAGCTTATCTTTTATTTATTCATTTGAAATTTTTTTACTTGCTATTTTTATTTTATGTGTATGCGTCTGTTGCCTGCATGTAGTAGGTGCACCTGTGTGGTGTAATGCTCACAGAGGTCAGAAGAGGGTGTCAGATCCCCTGGAACTGGAGTTATAGATGGTTGTTAACCTCCATGCGGGTGCTAGGAACTGAACCTGGGTCCTCTGCAAGAGTAGCCAGTGCTTTTAACCACCGAGCCATCTATCCAGCCTCTTAGCTTTCATTTTTATAATTTTTTTTTGAGACGGGTTGTCACATAGCCCAGACTGTCCTAGAACTTACTATGTAGCCAAGGATGACCCTGAACTCCTGATCCTCCAGCCTCTATCTCTCAAGTGCTGGGATTACAGGTGAATGCCACCACACCCTCTTCTGCAGTTAAGCCTGACAACGTGAGTTGGATCCCTGGGACCCAGTGGCAGGAGAGAACCAGCTCTCAAAGGCTGTACTCTGACCTCTGCGTGCATTTTGACATGAGCTCCACTGACCAGTAAATAAATAAATGTAAAAATAATTAAAACTAATAATGCAAATTGCATCTTGGATGCAGTAGGATTTTCTGGTCTTATTTGAGATGGTGTGTTTGTAGGCAGCCCTGGTTGTCCTGGTGCTTGCAATCCTCTTGCCTGTCTCCTGAGTGCTAGAATTATAGGTGTGCACTGCTGTGCCTGGCTTGTATTTGTTTCAAAATAAAATTTTATTTTGAGCTGGAGCTCAGTGATTAAGAGCACTGGCTGGTCTTGCAGACCAGCACCCACGTGAAGTTCTTGCAGAACTGACCTAGGTTCAGTTCCCAGCACCCACATGAAGGCCAACAACCATCTGTAATTTCAGTTTTAGGGAATCTGATGCCATCTTCTGGCCTCCATGGGCATTGCATTCACATGGTGCACTTGCACACATGTAGACAAAATACACACATAAAATAAAAATAACAAAATAAAGTGTTATGTTGAATTGTTTGCCACAGAATAAAATGCACCAGAGATTGGGAATATAGACCACTTGATAGAGCACTTGAGCTCTTGTCTTGCATGAAGTCCTGAGTTCAAATTCCAGCATGTCCCTCCACCTGCCCCCATACAAGATGTACCAAGTTTTGTCCTCTGAGAAAGCCCCAAGTTCTCCTTCACATAAGTTTATTTACTGTTCCCACCTTTTGGAATTTGAGATACATGGTGTCCTTCAATTAAATTATAATAATTAATAGTTGTTGACTACTATGATGTTTTGGGCACATGGTGCCAAAGACTTTGAATAATTCATTTATTACTGTCAACAAATTCAAATTTTAGACACTGTTATTATTTTGCTTTTGGAAGACAGATTCTCATGTGGCCCAGGCTGACCTTGAACTCACTGTGTAGCTGACAATGACTTTGAACTCCAGAAACTCCTGCCTCTGTTTCCTGAGTGCTGGGATCATAGGCATGTGCCACCATGCCTTGTTTGGGAACCCAGGGCTAGGCAAGTACTCAGCTATTGAGCTACAGCCCCAATCAACAGTTATTATTATTATTTAATAAATTTTTATTGGTTGGAATGCAAAATAATGGATTTCAAAATGGCATTTTCATACAAGGTACCATTAGTGTTCTTTCGATTTTTATAGATGAGGATGTTCAGAGAGGTTAATTGACATGTCTGAAGTCACCCAGTTGTGCAGGCTGAATCTGACTCTACCAGCTGCTCTTCTCTGGGGGAAGGAGAACAGATGTCACAGAATCCTTCTCCATTTTCCTTGGTCCCCACCCCCTGCTGGGTGGTGCTGCAGCTGAAAATCTTGTCTCAAGAACTAGTTGTGTGCATCCGCAACTGTCTTAGTGAGGGGGATAGACTGTTGGCATGGAGATACGATGTATCATCTACTAAGTTTACACCTGGGAACTGCACAGTCTTACTGAAAAAATCTCATGTTTTCGTGTGTGTGTGTGTGTATGTGTCTGTGTAGTATATGTGTATGTTTATGTGGGTGTGTTCATGTGTGTAGAGACCAGAGGTTGATGGTAGGTGTCTTCATCTATTGCTCTTCACCTTATATATTTATTTATCTTTTTTTTTTTTTGAGACAAGGGCTCCCTGTAGAACCAGGTGGCCTCAATCTCATAGAGATCCACCTGCCTTGACCTAGCCCTGAGTGGTACGGTTAAATGCCTGTGCCACCACACCTAGCCTTATTTTTTAATTTTTAGTAGAATTTTTATTTGTATATTGTGTGAGTGGGAGATGGGCATGAGTGTGCGATGGCTCACAAGCAGAGGTCAGAGGACAGCTTGCAGAAGTTAGTTTTCTCTCTTCACTGTGTTGGGGGGATTGGATTCAGGTCCTCAGGCTTGGTGGCAAGCACTTTCACTCACTAAGCTATCTGGCAGGTCTCCAGTCCCAGTTTTTTACAGATGGAAACGCTGAATCTCAAATCCCACACTGAGTTCAAGGCCCCCATGGCCCCAAGTTGGTCTTCACTGGGCTGCACCCTGAGCGAGGTCAGGTAGGCTGGGGTATCTGGTCTGTGTTCCATTTCCACAGTTCCCTGACTCTCCTGAGGGCTGAGGGAAGGTCTGAAATGAACTCTGATCTGGCTAAGAGTGGACAGTCCATCTATAAGACAGAGATCCTATGGAGCATCAGGATTACAAGGGTACACCACCACACTAGCTTAACGTAATTCTCCCTCTCTCTCTCTCTCTCTCTCTCTCTCTCTCTCTCTCTCTCTCTCTGTAAGACTAGGAAGTTATAGAGGATAAGCATGCTCAGGGGACTGCAGCAGATGCTGTAAAAGGATTTTTATGATTTCTCTTTGTATGTACACATATACGTGTGTGTGTGTGTGTGTGTGTGTGTGTGTAAATGTGTGTGTATATTGCTATGGATAATACCCACAACCTTCTGGATGCTAGGTAGGTGCTCTATCACTGAGCCACACCCCAGCCCCTCACTGGGGGATTCTAGCCAGATGTTCTACCACTGAGCCATGCCCCAGCCCCTCACTTTTGGAGAGCCAGGTTAGTCATTATGATGTGGACAGGCTCTCCATTGGTCCTTTTCTTGTTTTCTCCCTTCATTCCTCCCTCAAGGCCTAAACAATTTGGAGAATTTGAGTTCTGGGGGTGTTCAGTGCCTCACCCCAAAGGAATCTGAACCTGTGTTTCAGCACTGGCTGAAATACATTATCTACTAAATGATGGGGTCATTCCCCTGGGGTTTTAGAGATACTCTGTCTCCCATCATCCTGCCACTCTTCACATCATGAGAAAGACCAGAAAATTCCATGTTTCTGTCAAAGTAGCCTTAGTTGTAGGGTCTATAGTAAGAGAAATTTCATATTTATCTTTTTGTTGTTGCTGTTGAAACAGGGGCTTGCTATGTAGCTTAGGCTGGCCTCAAATTCACAACCAGCCTATGGAGCATCAGGATTACAAAGGTATACCACCACACTAGCTTACCGTAATTCTCTCTCTCTCTCTCTCTCTCTCTCTCTCTATCTCTATCTCTCTCTCTCTCATGCACAAGGGTGCATGGAAGCCAAAGGACAGTGTAAGGTGTCACTATCAGCTTTATTCCCATGAGGCAGGGTCTCTCTCACAGAACCTGGAGCTCATCTGGAAGCCAGCAAGCCCCAGGAATCCTACTGTCTCAGTCTCTCACCGGTGCTGGGGTTACAGGTCTTACATGGTATTTTACATTGGTGCTGGGGATTCAAACTCAGGTCCTCATATTTGTGCAGCAAGCACTCTTATCCATAGAGTCATCCATCCCCCAGCCTTATCCTTGCTTTCCCTAGCTTCAATATCCACCTCTGAAAAATGGGACTGGTGGGAACTGTTCAAACCATGCGACTTGCCCGTTGGGGGACCAAAAAGCGTCTTGGTAGGGAAGGTTCTAAAATGTATACAGGGGGCCCAAGATTAGACTTCGTGCCTGTGGGCATCCTTAGCTGGGTGGACACCATCCCTTCCTCGGCCCTGGATCACAGAGGGTTAAAAAGAAAGACCCACGCCCCCTTTGACTACGAAGAGCCCACCTCTCTGAATTTGAAAAGGCGGCCCTGGAGAGGCGTGGGCCCCCCCCCCCCCCAACTTCAGCCCGGGACCGGACTTCGCTCCATCACTGACTGGCTCCCTCTCCTCCGGGCTGGGGCCGCGGGTTCGGTCCAGCCGGCTGGGACGCAAGATGAAGCTTGCTCTGCTGTTACCATGGGCGTGCTGCTGCCTGTGTGGGTCGGCGCTGGCCACCGGCTTCCTCTACCCCTTCCCAGCAGCCGCTTTGCAGCAGCACGGCTACCCCGAGCAGGGCGCTGGCTCCCCCGGCAACAGCTACGCGAGCCGCCGGTGAGTAGAGAGGGGCGCCGGGCCTGGGGCGCATAGAGAGAGGGCGCCGGGCCTGGGGCGCAATGGCTGGATCCGAGGGACCGCAGGGGCTGCGAGGCGCGGTGGCCGAGTGCTGGGGGCGCAGGACAGCGGGCCAGGGACGCGGGTGCTGGATCTAGGGACATCCGAGGCTGCAAAGCGCAGTGTCCAGGTGCTGGGGGTGCAAGGCATCGGGTTTGGGGCGCGGGAGCTGGAGCCAGGAACGGCAGAGACTGGGTGCTGGAGACTTGGGGTGCAAGATCTGGAACTAGGGACAGTGGGGATTCCAAGGCGAGGTGGCTGCGTGCTAGGGGCGCACGGGCTGGATCAACGGACCGCTGGGACTCCAATGCACGGTAGCCGAGTATTGGGAGCTTGAAGCATTGGGCTTGGGGTGCAAGATCTGGAACCAGAGATAGTGGGGCTCTGAGTCATCATGGCCGGGTGCTGGGGACGCAGAGACTGTATCCAGGGACAGCTGGGGTTCCAAGACATGGTAGATTAGGGTTGGGGACACGAAACCCAGGGCCGGGGTGTGGGGTGAGACTCTAAGACGTAGTGACTCAGTGCTTGGGGCCGCAGGACATCAGGCTTGGGACTCGAGGCCTGGGGGCTCAGGGGCTGGAACCGTGACAGCGGGAGGCTCTGAGGCACGGTGGCCAGGTGCTGGGGGTGAAGGGCTTGGTGGACACAGAATGGCTGGCCCTCAAGACGGGGCGGCTCCAATGGTCTTGTAAGGGGACCCCAGAAACTGCGATCTCGTGCTGGAAACTCCCCGCCTAAGGGCACCAGGGCTCCAAACGGACACCGGACAGGGACTTTGGATGTCTCTCTGTCTCTCTCACACTCACTCGGTTCTGACTTTCTCACCCTTCGGTCCGTGGTTCCGGGTTTTAAGTAGAGGTGGCTCAAACTTGCATCCGGGACTCGCAGAGGGGCCTCCCGGGACTCACTGGACTTGGGGTTCTGCTTCTGCCTCACCTGCAGCCGGGGTTTTGTGTTGAACAGTTCCAGGATCACCAAGCCCTGTGTGCTTTGGGCTACTACAACGCTGGAGAGGCCATCAGTGTCAGTCACTGAGGAACCTCGGCTGCGACTTTCCACACACTCTGGGATGTGGTACCCCCTCGGATCCCGCTGCTTCTCTGAGCCGATGGAGGAGGAAGGAAGGAGGAAGAGGGGTGGAGGGGAGGGGTAGTTACCCAGGTCTCAGTGCCTGGACCTACCAGCTGCTTCCTTCTCTACCACCAGGTGGCGACGTGGCCACCCCGGGATGGTTTAAGCTGAGTCTCCTTACACGCCTTTGAATTTTCAGAAAATCACAGCATCCAAGAAAATGTTGCTGAACACTTTGTTTGCACATCTCACTTGAACTTAGCTTTTCTCCCATCTGGTATCCCCAGTTCTCATACCTGTACTAGTGCCACGGTCGTGTCCCCGGTCCCTGCTTTGATCCTACACCACCCCAAGGTTAAAGCATTAAAATATTATCTTTTGGGCTGGAGAGATGGCTCAGTGGTTAAGAGAACTGGCTGCTCTTGCAGAAGAGCACCTACAAGGTTCTCAGCACCTACAAGGTGGCTAACAACCATCTGTAACTCCAGTCCCAGAGGATCCAACACCTTCTTCTGGCCTCCACTGGCATTGCACACATGTGGTACTCTTACATGCAAGCAAAACACACATACACATAAAATAAAATAAAAAAAATAAAGTGGAGAGAAATCAAGGAAGACACTTGACAGTGACTTCTGACCCCCACACATATATGCACACATGAACACATAAACACACATGCACACAAACACAAGCTTACATATAATTTTAGTCTGTTTATTTTGTTTGGAAATGTTTTCTAGAAGTTTCTATTAGAATTTTCCAAACACACGTACACACACATACGTTCGCATGCTGTTTTATTGCTTTCATTTTGTTTGGAAATACTTTCTAAAAGCTTCTATCAGGAAATTTCCAAACATCCAAGAAGTGTCTGCACACTTCCATATGTGGGGAGAGCAGTAATCAAGCTTTGAAAATTGAAGGATAATATGGATAATGTGATCTCATTTATAGAACAAAACAAAATGAATCTACAAAACATTTTTGTGTGTGGTACAGGACCTTGTGTATGTTAGGCAAGTATTCACTAAGCTAAGTCCCCAGTTTTTAAATATTTTTATTAAAATTATTAATTTATATATGTGCAATGTATGTATGTGTTGTGTATATACACATGTGTGCTGATGTGCATGCCTTTGCATACATGTGTGGAGGTCAGAGGAGGATGTTGGGTGTCTGGCCTGCTCTATCATTACTTCTTATCCCTCGAGACATGGTCTCTCACTGAACCAGGAGCCAGGTTGGTGGCCACTGAGTCACAAGGACCTTCTTGTCTTGCTCCTCCTCTCTCTACAGTGCTGTGTGTACATGGCCAAACCTGGCTATCTATCTATCATCTATCTATCTATCTATCTATCTATCTATCTATCTATCACCTATCTATATGATTTATATTTTATGTGCCTGAGTGTTTTGCCTGCTTGTGCCCCACGTGAGTGTAATGTTCACAGTAGCCAGAAGAGGGCATTGGATCTCCTGGAACTGGAGATAAAGACAGTTGTCAGCTGCCATGTGGGTGCTTTTTATGTGTGCTGGAGATTCAAATTTAGGTCATGCTTGTGCAGCTTATCCATTGAGCCATCTCTCCAGCCCCCCCTTTTTTAGACAGGGTCTCCCTGTAGCCCCTATTGGCCTGGAATTTGCTGTATAGACCAGGCTGACTTTGATCTCACAGGAATCCACCTGCCTCTGCCTCCTGAGTGCTGGGATCAAAGCTGTGTGCCACCATGTCCAGCTTCCAGTCCATTTTAAAACCTTTTAAATTTTGGGACAGTGTCTTGTTAAGGTACCTGAGGGCTGGTGTTGAACTTGCTCTGTAGAACAGGCTGGCTTTAGTCTTGTGATCTTCCTGCTTCAATCCCCCAAGAAGCTGGAATTACAGGCATGCACCATTGTGACTGGCTCAGAAAATATTTTTCGCAAAAGTTTCCAGCAGTTAACTATATGGAGAGTCTTGGGGCTAGACTAGAGGACTAGAGTCATCTTCCCCTGTAACTATAGGGTTACAACTGTGGTCTCAACCAACTTCTGATTGAAGCAGTGTGTGTGTGTGTGTGTGTGTGTGTGTGTGTGTGTTGTACACTCATCTGTGGGTGTGCATGTGCAGGTCAGAGGTTTCCAACCCCCCAATATATTTCTCTTTAACTTTGTGTGTTTTTAAATGATATCTGATGGCTCAGTGGAACATCCCGTACTGGCTTGAATAGTGCCTTACTAGGCAACAGGCTTCCTCTTGTACCTCCCGGCCTTCCTAGCACAGTGTTGCATGCTATTGTTCCTGGGGAGATGTGAATATATCTACTTGCTCCAGATAGGGAACCAATGGTAGACCAAAGTAACGATACCACCAAAGTCCAACTTGGAGAACCAATAAGTTTTAGTAGGGTTGCTTGCAGAAGCAGAAATGACTCAGAGACAGCTGTATCACCAAAGCCCACCCCAGCATGTGGCTGTGCTTGGGAAGCCCCATACTGAGAGGAGGGCTTCACATGATTTCTTACCTCATAATAATAAGAGATACCTTTGAAGAGGGCTGGCGAGAGGGCTCAGCAGGAAAAGGAGCTTGCTGCCAACCCTGATTCCCAAGACACACAGAGTGGAAGGAGAGAACTGACTCCGGCAAGTTGTTCTTGGGCCTCCACACATGTACCTTCCTCCCACAATAAATAAATGTAAAAATGACTAAAATAAATACCTTTAAGGCACTGGGGATGCACCTTAGTAAAGTACCTGCAATGCAAGCATGAAGACATGAGTTGAGGTTCCCGGAACCAACATAAAAAATATTGGTCATGCACATGTGTAATCCTAGCATGGAGTGGGCAGAGATGGGTAGATTCCCTGGAGTTCACTGGCTAGCCAGTCTAGCCAATGAGCGATGCTAGGTTCAGTGAAAGACCCTGTCTCAAAAGATAAGGTGGAGATTGATCAAGGAAGAAACCCAGAGTTGACCTCTGACCTTCACACACACACACACACACACACACACACACACACACACACTTACACAGATACAGAGAAACACACACACACACACACACATAGACACACACACACATATGCAGATACTACCTTTTATCCAGTTGTGGTGGTGCATGCATATAATCCCAGTGCTCCAGAGGTGTAGTCAGGATAACTGGGAGTGTAAGGCTGTCCTCAGCAATATAGTGAGTTGAAGACCAGCCTGGGCTATATAAGCCCCTGTCTCAGAAAAAGAAGAAATATTTTTTATTTGATGACCAAGCACATACGCGTGTACACATATATCTAAAATAAAATTTGCGAAGAAATTATTTTTTGATTTATTTATTTTTATTTTATGTGTATGAGTATTATGGCTGCATGTGTGTAACTGCACCCATGTTGTACAGTGCCCACAGAGGACAGAAGAGGGTATAGGATCTCCTGGAACTGGAGTTATGGGTGGTTGTTAGCCTCCATGTTTGTGGGTGCTGGGAATCGAACTCAGGTCTTCTGCAAGGGCAGTCAGTGCTCCCAACCACTGAGCCATCTCTCCAGCCCCGCAAAATAATAATTACACTGTGACTTAATGTGATACTCTCTTCAAAACTGCAACCCATCTAGATCACTAAAAAAATGTTGGCCAAACTGGGCGCGGTGGCACACACCTATAATCCCAGCACTTGGTAGGCAGAGGCAGGTGGATATCTGTAAGATCTAAGCCAGTGTGGTCCACATAGCAAGTTCCAGGACAGCTGGGCTACAGGGAAATCCTGTTTCAAAAAACTCAAAGAATCAAGAGCTGAGTGTGATGGCCTAGACCGGTACTACTAGTACTAGGAAGGCTGAGACAGGAGGATAGTGAATTTGAGGCCAGCCTGAGCAACACTGTAAGATCTTTT